TTTGCTGCTGATGTACTTGAAGAAGCCCTTCTTGTTGTCTTTGACATCCCTTGCCAGATTCAATTCCAGGTGGGCCTTAGCCTTCCTCATTGCTTCCCTACATGCTCTGACAACATTTCTGTGTTCCTCCCAAGTGGTCTGTCCCTCTTTCCACATTCCATAGACCTTTCTCTTCCATTTGAGTTCTGCTGGAAGCTCCTTGCTCATCCATGCAGGTCTCCTGCCTCCTTTGCTAGATTTCTTACTCATGGGGATGCACCGATCCTGAGCATGGAGGAAGTGACGCTTAAATAGCAAACAGCTCTCTTGGACCCCCCTGCCTTCTAGAACCCTAACCCATGGGATTCCTCCAAGTAGGTCCTTGAAGAGGCCAAAGTTAGCTCTTCTGAAGTCCAAGGTTGTGATCCTACTTATTGCCCTGCTTCCTCCATGCAGGATCCTGAACTCCACCATCTCATGGCCACTGCAGCCAAGGCTGCCTGCAATCTTCACATCCTCAACCAGTCCATCTTTATTTGTCAGCACAAGGTCCAGCAGCACACCTCTGCTCGGCTCCTCCACCACCTGTGTCAAAAAGTTATCATCAATGCTCTGCAGGAACCTTCTGGACAGTGTGTGCATTGCAGATCTTTTCAAATACATATTGTTATTGTCATTGAAGTAATGCCTACAGATACTGATAAAAACAATACATTTCACAATTAAAGAAATGATCAATTTTGAAGAGTTTAGAATCGGAACATACATTAAAAAATGAGAAATTGAGCAGATTTCTGCTGACTATAGCTGTTTCCAAACCATTTCTAAACTGAGTCTGAAACTCATCTTTCTGTTCTGCAGTTACTCAGATGAAAAAGAATATGCACTGTAGTAAAATCCTGTTTTCTTTCAGGCTAGATGGGTCGTGTTTTTCTGGATTAGACTTAGAAGAAGGGAAAAGAAATAAAAGAGTAAAACATTCATTTTGTGTTATTTGGTTTCATTCTCACTGTGTATTCAAGAATGGATTCATCCTTAAGTGCAGTAGTTACTTGGAGCATTCGGCACCATCTCTGATAAGGTAAAGAGGAATTGCTGGGACTTTTAAGGGGCATAATTCAGCCAACAGTAGATAAAGGGAACTTTTCCTGGTGCAAGAATTAGTCTGTTCAGGCTTGCTTTCCTGGATGACAATGAAATAAGCATTTGTGTAAGGACTTTGTCTGCTAAATATTCCCTTTAGGAAAAGGGAGGCAGAGTCCAAAGTTCATACACAGTCTACAAAGTACATACTAGTCTCCAAAGTAGGCGAGGCAATGGGAGTGGGAAAAAAACTAGAGAAAGCTCTTCATCATCTCTGTTTTACATATGAGCAAAGTCCAGTCATGCTGCACGTCCTTAACCATATTAATTCTGCTGATTTTTGAATAATCTTTCAGAGAGCTAGACGCAAACCAAGAGCAACCTTCACGGTAAGTCAATAACTTTTTTTTTTTAAAACAGAGATATTTTATAAAATTCACTGATAACTAAGATTGGGAAAATTCCGAATAACTTCATATTCCTTTAAACAAACATCGACTTTCTCATTTATTTTGTATATTTGTGCTGAATTGCAGAAAATGTGATGCTTATATTGTTCAAATGAAATGAAATGAAGGACACACAGTTATCAAACATGTACAAATACAAAATATAGATGTTTGTAAGCAAACTCCAAACATCTGGACTTATTTCAGCAGTTTATACATGCCCATTACGCGGATTCACTTGCAATGTATGACTAATGACTTTAACGATTTTAGTAAATAACTGTAGTTTTCTTTCAAACAAATGGTCAGTGAGATTAGTACCCTTGGCTTAATGGTTGCCTATTCTTTGGTCAAATATTATTTTACAGAGAACAATCTTAAATAAATTTAAAATGCATTCTGAAGATCAAAAGAGGCAGGAGTGTGCTGTAGATGGAAATAGTCATGAGATGACTGCATCCAGCCAGGGTCATGAATCTGAAGACAAACAGTAAGTATTCTTAAACAGTGTGAACATGTTCTATAGTGAAGCTTATAAGATTACATTATCTATTTTAGATTTTATTTTGTATTTTATTTTATCAGGAAAGTCTAATAACAGAAAACTGTATCAGCTTGAAAATAGCATTGATTGACACATTCATTTGGTGCAGAAGGACCTTTTATCTTTTTCTTCTAAGGACTAAGTGTCCACAGTACTGACTTAAGTTTATTGAAAAGCACTTCTAAATTGTGTCAGAAATGCTGTCAGAATGGACATCTTGGATATAATTATGTCACCAGCTAAAAATTATGTCAAAATTTTTAGTGTGACAGGGAATCAATATTTTACGTACCTTGAACATTTTATTTATTCCCCATCCCCCATGTGCAAAGCTATCTCCCTCTTTCCCATTTTGAAAGCTGTGTACTGCTTCAGTTCACAACTTCCATGATCAGACTGTGGAACCACCAGCCCTTGTTGGTGTTGTTGCACCCTTGAAAGGGGTACACTGGGAAGAGCTTGACTTAAATTTGTAGCAGTCAGGGGCTGATACTATTTATATACCTGGGGGTTTAAATAAAAACATCCTGAGAATGCTCAATAAATCATATTCATTTTACACACAAATATTTCCTGTAAATTTATTTCATAATTGTATTTTAATTGAGCTTTATTAGTACATTGCATTAGTATTCTGTGAAATGTTGTCACTTTCAAAATGCATTAAAACTATCATACATTTAAGCAAGGAAAAGAAGAAGAAGAAAGCAGAAAAGGCTAAGATGGTCAGCCCGTTTACACTGGTAAGATTTATTCTCTGTGTGTACATATATATACATGTATGCACATTTCAAAGTGTATACAAAAACATGGTTAAAATTATGCTACAGCACTGCATATATGGTCTCGTCTGTACCAAATACTTTTGTAGTACAGAATATTGGATATGGTATAGCAATCAAGCAGTTCTTTTTGTGGAAACAGTTTTATTAATGAAGCTGTGTTATTACTGAAATGGATTCTTGGGAGTCTTTCCTTAGTAAGTTATGCTAAACAGACACGTATTAGATTTTTGTTTGTGAAAGGCAGGGATATGCACGTTCGGTCACTTCTTCTGACACAATGAAAAACATATCTGTATACCTATGATCATGTGTGGTCTTGTCCTCTAAATTTCCTGAGTCAGGTACTAATCACACCCATTAATCATTATTTAGTCACCTGAGTCAGCGGTAAAGGGCAACTTCATGGCACTGATGATTAGAAATAGTGTAGTAAAAAGTACTTTAAATTCCAAAAATGTTTAATTTGCTGTGTATTTTAAAATAAAGCAGTGAATATTTAATCAAAGTAAATTCTGGGTACTCTTTTAGTAACAGTGAAATGTTTTATATTTTGTAGGTTTAGTGTGCATAAAGCACAGCAATGATACGGCAAAGAACAGAAATAAAGCCCGTGATGCTGACCAATGCCCATTTTTTTGCTTTGCTATACCAGCTTGCACTTGTACAATTACATCATACCGCTATAATTTAGAACAGTAAACTTAGTATTTTACAGTACAGAATAAAGCCATTGATTTTGTAACAGATGAGCTCAAACTTTATTGAGTTCAATGGCAAGAGTTATTTAGGATTTCAGTAAGTTTTGATAATGCCTATGGTACATTAGGAATGTTTTTTCTGACTGCATAATAAAGAATTTACAGTAAAAATAATTATTGCCTTAATTATCATAATGTCATGAACATTTCTTACAATTTGAACTTTAAATAGCAAATGTATAAAGGTCAAATTTTTTATGCCGTGTTTTCATATGACCTGTCTTACACAAGTGCAGGTATTGATACATTAAAATAGTACACCTCTCTGGTTTTGAGAGTTTATAGTATAAAAGTGCTTATATTAGAATGATTTATTTCTGTACATTTAAATTGTTTTGTTTCTAATCAGATAAAGTTGTAGTTTTCTGACACTAAGTGTACAATTGATAGCTTTTTCTTAACTTTCTTGCCTTTGGAGACATAACATTGTGTTAGCATTCTAATACCACAGTTAAAATGAATTTCTCTTCTCACTCACAGTTTCGATACTCCAGTTGGTTGGATAAGTTACTAATGATACTAGGCACTGTCCTGGCAATAGCCCATGGAAGCAGTCTACCTATTGCAATGATAATTTTTGGTGATATGACTGATAGCTTTGTTGATTCTGGACACACAAATTTGACAGGTAAGAATAGATCTGCTATGAAGAGAACAATGGCTCATATTTGGAGAACAGCCAGGGCAATTCAAAGATCTTGGCATGAGATACGGATGTCAGAAACCCCATCTTGCTTCTATACTATGATGCAAATTAGTAGCTCTTGCATTTGCTGTAATAGAGAGACACTATGGAATTTTTTTTGCTCCTGATTCTTAGTTTCTGCATTAGTAGATTTTATTTAAAATTTTTTTGAATTATCTACTACAATGCACTTTCAACAAGTCATGATTAACTGTGGCTATGATAAATAGAAAGAGTCTGGGTTTCCATCTCCTCACCATGAGTTCCTGTTGATTGCCTTGTATCAAATATGACAATCATTGTTCACAAGGTGAATCAGATCAGTAAGTAGATCAAACAGAAAATTTGCTACCAAAAATAAAAGTATTCATTTTCTCTTGGATCAATTTATTGAATAGCCTCATTTGCTAAACCACTAGAATTTCCAGCGAGAAAAGGCTAAGAGAGTTGAGGCTGTTCAGCGTGGAGAAGAAAAGACTCTGGGGAGACCTTATTGCAGGCTTTCAGTACCTGAAGGGAGCCTACAAGAAAGCTGGAGCAGGACTTTTTACAAGGGCATGTAGTGATAGGACAAGGGGTGATGGCTTTAAACTTAAGGAGGGAGGGTAAATTCAGGTTGTTGTGGATGCCCGGTCCCTGGAAGTGTTCAAGGCTAGGTTGGATGGGGCTTTGAGACACCTTGTCTAGTGGAAGATGTCCCTGCCCATGGCAGGAGGGTTGGAACTAGATGATCTTTAAGGTGTCTTCCAACCCACCCCATTCTATGATTCTGTGATGAGATCAAACACGAAGGAGGGCAGGCATGCACTGCTGGATACAAGAAGGGGGAGTGATACGGTCACTCAGACCAGATTGTGTTGTCCTCTGAACTCACATGTTAGATGTTAAACTTATGAACAGGTTTGTTGCCTGAAACACTATCTAATAAAATTTTATTAAACATTTTAATAAATGTCTGTGGCGATATAGAAAAATAACAGATGTGACTATCTTCTGTCCTGCATCCATTTTTGCTCTTATTGTGCTGCTATAAGACAGAAACGCAGGTATATTGCCTTTATCAGAACAACTGATTTATGATATACTCCTTCACAAGTACAATAAATGCACCAGATTGTTATGGTGCAAATGAAAAATGGTGTAGCTGTAATCTTCTCAAAACACTTGTCACTAAGTCCTCGTGTGCAGGAGTAAACTTTTAAGGCCAACACCAACATTATAGCCAATGTTTTCAAAATCGATTAAGCTATCTACAGTTACTGATGTGAGGTCAGTGTCTAGCCCTGTATTTTTGATGGGTTTTGGCATTATACAAATGCCCTATGTTTTCAGAAAGAAAAAACAAGCGGAGCATTTAATGAATGCTCAGGAAGGCCTTTTAATCTCAAGTTACACTGATGTAGTTTTGGAGTCGGTGGAGTTACGACTAACCTTGTATTATTATAATCATTGTTTTTGAATAGGTAGAAGCCTGAAATTGTCACACTCCTCCTTTCACTAAAATCAACTTGATTCAAAACGACATGTAGCAAACCAAAATTTGCTGAATAACGTGCAGGAAAACAAATTTGTTAAAACTTGTTCTATTAAAAGTATTTACTCTTTTCTTCCTTTCTGAGGAAACGTTTCTGCAGCGAATTACACTTCAGATGTTCTTGGCAAACTGGAAGAAGATATGACAAGGTAAATAGAAATCTAATCTCTTGCTCTCACCCATGCCACCCACTTTTCAGGCATGCTCTGTGTCCCAATGCCATCTTCATTTCATTCCTTCTTCCTTTTCTTCTGAATTTTTAAACAGTAGTTGTTATGCTAAAAAATTATGTTGGTTATCATCCATCAATTCCTTGAGCTAGGATGATTCACTGATATAAAGCAGAATTAAAATTTCCAGATAGTACCTACTTTGCTGCCAGAGCATGAAGTTCAACAAAATTATGTGGACTACAGAAAATACAGAGTTAGATTATATGCAACCTTAAATCTAGCATTCTAGAGCTGACAATAGCAGAAGACAATAGTCAGTAGTTGCTTTTGCTACAAAGCTTCATAAATAAAAGGCCAAATAAGCAGGAACATCAGCTGTCAATAGATGTATTTTGTTAAGGGGTTTTATTAACCACTGTCCATGGACTACATTTATGCAGGATGTCTGAAGTTCATGTGTATTTTCTGGTACCCCTTCAACTTCTTTTCTTCAGGTTGAAGTCTGTTTCTCATTAGGTATTGAAAAACATCTGACATCTCAGGAATGCTGATGTGGTCTTCAAGACAATTGTGTTTTCTGAAGAGGAGGAGATAAGGCATTTGCTATAGTAACTTGCTGTTTTGTATTGAAGTGCATTATCATTTCTGTTAACAGTGGACTGTAAACTTATAGATCATTTAGATTAAGTAGTTAAGTTTCTAATTAAAAAAAAAATATATACTTACACCAACAAAAAAGTTCTTTACCGTAATATAAATGAGCAAGAGCTAGTTAGGAAAAGACTGTTACTTAGAAATGAAGAACTCATATGTAATGAGAATGAACTGGACGGGAACTGGCAATTATGTTTTATAAGAGAGTATGGACACACAGAGTTTATTTCTCCCGCAAGATTTCAGTCAGTTAGTCTCTGACATGAATGCAAGTAAGGCATACACACCTTCAGCAGAATATACTTGTGCCCCGTGATTTGAAAGCAAATTTGAAGGCAAAATTGCGGAACAAAGTAATCTGTGCATAGGTGAAGTTAAGCAGCTTTAAAATCAAGGGGTTTTTTCCCCCTACTCTAGCATATCTAACCTGTATTTTAAGAGCAGGATGTACTAGAACACAAGCTATTATTGACCCTTGTAGCATAAGATTAGTGTGTAAATCAATGTGTCATTTGTAAGTCTTTTAGACAAACAACCAGTCAGAACTATTTTTGATTCATGGTTTGGAGTTCTTTTAATCTCTGAACTCATATGACATCATCTCAATTAAAAACAATAGGAATCCTCCCATTGTCTTCAGTGGCCTATCGTCTACGAGTCACTACTGCTTAAAGAACAAAGAGTACAGTAAAACAAACAAGATGACACAAAAGAAGTGTAAATGTGAATATATCAACATCTAAATATTGAGAACTGCCTGTTCTCATGACCGTAAATGATGGTCTATTTGAGGGAGATCTTTTGTCATGCATGCCACCTTGTCTTTTAGACATAAACTCTGAAAGTACAATTATGAATAAAAAGCAACTCGAGTTTCTCTTTAGAAACAAATAGGTGAATGAAGAATGTTTTACTTATTAGCACCACAGGAATACGTTCTCTTTTCTAAAGTTTCTAGATAGAGCCTGGAGTTAGTGTATTCACTAGTTTGAAGAAGCAGCTATTTGTACCCACCCCCTGTTTCTCTGAGGACACCTGCCAGCATATCAAGTAATAATAAAAGCTGTTTACAAGGACAAAGTTCTCGCACAGTTGTGTTCAAGTAGTAAACTATACACATGGACTTTGTTGCCTTTGTTACTCAAACAACAGTTTGCCTAAACCCCGACTATTTCTCAAGAGAAAAAGAACCCTTATTCTTACAATGCAGTGAGCATTTGCTCTTTGGTAAGTTTCAGCAGTGAATTTACAGAATATAGTCCATCAGCATGGAATCTGGCAAAGATACCAGTCCCTTTTGATACAATTTGTTATGAAACAAAGTCCAAGCGTAAAACAATTATTTGCAGTGACATAACATCATAAAGTAATTCTTTGAGGTAATTACCACTGAGTTTTGAAGCAGTGTCCTTGGTTTTACTTTGGTAATTTCCGTATAGAGTTTTAATGGAGCTGAAGATGATCAAGGTCAATATTCGACTAACCAGCATTCAGTTAGGCATTAACCCATTTTTATTAAACAGTTTAGATAAAGTGCATTTCATAAAGAATGTAGTTCGGAAGTCCCTGAATGAACTGTATGGTATCTTAGCGACAAAACCCACTAGATTAAAATTTGAAAAGTTTCATGTATAAGGCCATTCGCTCCTTCTTTTCAGCAGAGCATTTGCACACAGATTTCTGCAATTTGCTCCTGGCAAGTTTCATGCTACAGTTCTAAAGAATCAGTATGCATAACTTACTACATGTTATTGAAAGTCCTAAGAGTTTTAAAGCTTTTTTTCTAATAATTTGCTTTTATGTAGATGCAGTGGTCTTACAATTACATGTAACACACACCACAAATATTTAGCTGTTTGTTTTGGTCATGTTTTACAAACAGGGAATAAGTTCAGTTACATTTTCCTGGTTTAGTTCTGGCTTAAGTTCACCTGTAACTGATTCTGATGTCAATTCTGAATCAAATCAAATCTGATTTGATTCTGTTTGACTAGTTTAAAACTGTAGCTGAAATTCAGTTCCGGTTTGAGAAATATAGGGGTTCACACACTCCTTGATTTTGATTTGACATCCTGCTCATGGCACAGAGGTGAATTAACTTAGAAGTAAATTGTCAGTTATGAATAAAATAGAGAGCAAAAGAATTTTTGATCTGATCGCATTTTCTTGCAATACGTGTATATATAGTAATGCTGTACTCTCAAATTGGGAAATATAGCATGTATGCATATATATATTTATACAGACAGACACGTATGATGTAAGTGTGTGTGTGCATAAAGGTATATACGTTTAGGTCTGTCTATGTTCAAACAAAAATGTTACGAAGTTTTTGGAAATTACACATTTAAGTGAAAAGGATATTGTATCTAATATATAATTCGAAAATAATCTCATGAGAAAATATGTACTATATTTACAAAAAGAAAAAGTAATTCCTGTCTAACAATAGCTTTGTTTAGTTTATTACATATCTGAAAACTGATATTAAATACTACTTATAGAAAATTTGGCAAGTTTTACAGAGAAATATGAGCTCTGGTATAAACATTTAAACTCTAATTCAGATCTGAAACAGAAGAAGTAAGCATCAAGCTAAATACGGACTAGCGAGCTAATAAACACATTTCACAGAGTCCTGCCATTTTTTTTTTTCTTTCAGATATGCATACTACTATTCTGCAATAGCAGCTGCTGTTCTTCTTGCTGCTTATATTCAAACTTCATTTTGGACCCTAGCAGCAGGCCGGCAAATAAAAAAAATCAGAGAAAAATTTTTTCATGCGATTATGAGACAGGAAATTGGATGGTTTGATGTAAATGATGTGGGAGAACTTAACACTCGTCTCCTGGAGTAAGTGTGCTGTGCCTTTACCAATGTTATTTTATATTATGAAGCATGTATGAGTTAAATTTTTTAATTTTTATTTTTAAACTGTATTATTTAATTTTGAAATGACGTTTTCAAGTTTTCTGATGGAGAGCCTCATAGACTGAACTTCTGATACTTCTGATACTGGACTGTTGCAAGGATATCAGAAAAGAATTTCTTAAAGTTCCCTTGAATTCGGAGGATGACTGAAGCCCAGCCTATGAGATTACCCCCATGAAAAGAAAAAGCTGTTCGTTGCTATGCACACTGGGGACTGAACAAGGTGCCGACAGACCCCAGCAGTGTGAACAGCTTTAACTGCATGACAAGCTACTCCCCTCTCTTTGCCTACATGAAAGGCTTTATCTTTTCTTTCCAGATATCCCACAGTTTCCAAACAGATCAAAAATCTGGAATTAAGAGATTAACTTTGCACTGTAGGCAGAATTTCAATCTTTTCAGGCAAAAACAGGTTTATAGCATTACATTTTCACAATATATATGAAATTTTCCTTGATCACACTGTATAGTGCTCTATCTTAAAGCAAACTTGTTTGGAAGTAGTTGAATAATAAAGATTGTCTTCTACACAGATGCCCATGTAACAAAACTGAAAGGGTTTCTTGTGCTTTCTACATTTTGCTTCCTGTTTGGATGTCATTTATTTTTCAGTGATGTCTCCAAGATTAATGAAGGAATAGGTGACAAACTTGGTTTGCTTTTTCAAGCACTAACAACATTTGTAGCAGGATTTGTTGTTGGTCTCATCAGAGGATGGAAATTAACCCTTGTAATACTAGCAGTCAGTCCTGTCCTCGGACTTTCAGCAGCCCTCTGGGCAAAGGTAGGTTAACATAGATTCAGTGTCACGCTTTATATTAATGAAAGATAAAGAAATAAATCTACATATCTGTAATTGTTACTGTTGAAACTTATTGCTTAGAATAATTATAGTTTTAGAATACATCTATGTACATAAGCCTTAAATGAACTGTATAAAAGTACCCTTATGTAGTTTGTGTACTATAATTCCTGTAGATTGGACAGTCTTCTTTGATTTGAAGCTGTTTACACCAATATAGTATACTTTTATATAGAAAAGGAAGCAAGATATACAAGTAGAATCTACATCTGTAATGGTTAAACTTCGTTCACCAGCGTACTTGTTCTGTTGAAAGGAATAATTGCACCTCCTGAAAAATAAGTGAATAAATTAGACCAAGCCTTGGTCTTAGATGCAGATGCAGAGTTCCTTTCAAGAGTTGTTAACAACTTTGGTAAGAAATTTTAGACAGACTTCAATAAGAGAAGTACTAAATTACCATGGGATTGGAGTGACTTAAATTTGTAGTTTGGAAGCCTTTAGATTTTTACAGTATTTTATTTCCCTTACATTTCAAAGACTGTATAAGCGTGCTCTCTCTTGAGTGAGTATATTGCAGAAGAGGTAGGAGTAAAGAAGCATGTGCTACATATGTCTACTGGCTAAGAGTCTTCATCTTCATGGACTGTGCCCAGTTAATGTAAGCTGTAGAGCCCTCTGGCTAAGGTAGCCAGAGATGAGAATGAGCTGAGGAGAGCTGCCTGAGGAGAACCACTCCAGCTCATTATGAGTAGCTATCCAACCTCCTGCTCTGTGTGAAAGCAGAGTGGAAAATACAGCCCTTAGTTGTTAAGAGCAGTTAATGTTAAGTTATTTGAATGAATTCATAATGTACTTAAGTATTTTGATATTGAACATTCTGAACTCACATGTAATATAATCAAAAGTCTTCATATTGGAAGAAAGTAACTGTTATAAAAGCCGTTATGAAGTGCTTGAGCTCATTGTGTTTTTCTTAAGTCAAAATACTTGATCCTGTATTAGGTTCTCTCTGCTTTCACTGACAAAGAACAAGCTGCATATGCAAAAGCAGGTGCTGTTGCAGAGGAGGTTCTGGCAGCAATCCGTACTGTAATAGCTTTTGGAGGGCAGGAAAAAGAAATTAAAAGGTAAGAACAATGTTTGCTCTCATCAGCTGATTTTAAAGTATTGACTTCAAATGGTTTGAAATTTTCTTGTATCTTTGATGTTGAAAGTCTGTGAAAACAAAGAAGTCTTGTGCTTCCAGTGTTTTCAGGTAATGGGAAATTGCTACAGGCTCTTATAAGTTTCACTACATGTTGAAAGACAATTTTTTTTTTCTAGAAAATGACAAGTTGATGTATTGTCTCTACTCTAGACAGTGTACAAACTACTTTAAAACATCACACTGTGAGAGCTTTAGACAGAAAAAAAGGCCCTGCCATGAGAAGAGATGATGGTATCTTTGGTAATCTGATTACTCAGTAGTTTTAATGAAGGTACTGATAAACAGTATCTCTATTTCCGCTATACTGTAAAACATCATTCTTGTGACATATTTTAACCTTTTATCTTAAGCTAACAATTACAATATGGAATTGAATGCCAGTCCCTGAACTGCAGTGCCCTTTTTTTTCTATATACCAGGTCGACTGATGTTGGCATTGTTAGGAGTTACCTTAAAGTTGCTGTGCCTCACTACCAGGCTTTGTACAGTCTTAGGTTTATATATTTTATATATGTTGGTGTACTTTGTGAGTGTTCTTTTTCTAATTAATCCAGAGAGTTTTTGGTGCTGTGTGCCATGGTACAAGTCTGAGTCTATTTTGAACTTCTATCTTTCTTTCAGATACCATAAAAATTTAGAATATGCTAAAAAGTTTGGAATAAAAAAGGCTATCACATCTAACATTTCTATGGGTGCTGCTTTCTTACTGATATATGCATCATATGGACTGGCCTTCTGGTATGGAACTACCTTGGTCTTAACTGATGATTACACTATTGGCAAAGTTCTTACAGTAAGTATTAATGAGTTAATTCCCAATAATAGAGAGAAATACTAAAGAAAATACATTAAAGTGTATATTGGGAATTTATTTGAGTTTAATAAGAATTATGTGCCAAAATCAGCAAAATAGCTTCCCTTCTTAACAAAAAAAAAATTCTTACCACAAAAGTCTACATGTTGTTTCTATAGTACCTCAAAATCTACATCAAGCCAAAGAAAACATCTTACTTTCAACTGTTTCTACATTTTTTTATGTCTTCCATAAGATCAGATTGATACAGAAACAGTTCAATCAAAAATTGAAGTACGTTAGCCTTCCTACTTGCTCTTTGTTTTCAGATTTGTAGGGCTGAATATATTTTCAGGATGCAGAAGCAAATATTTTTAGCTGTTGTGTGGTCTAAGTAGATCATAATATTGATACTTTTCTTATATTTTGCTCCATAAGACCTTGAAATCACTTCTCAGTATTTTTAGAAATCAAGGAGAAGAAAAATGTATTTGTGACTAGGAAATACATCACCATCTAACCAAAGGAAAAATAAGTAACTCATAGGTCACAACTTAAATTCTCTTGATGTGGCAACCATTCTAATTTCATACGAGATATCAAACAAATATGATAAGAAGAATAATTTTGTTAACCATGGTGAAACATGGCCAGGAGACCATATGTATGTATTTATATATTTTTTAAACTACCTGTTTTGTTTTATTTATGAATCACTCAAGGTTGTGAGAAATGAGTCTGCTTGGTATTACTGGCTCTTTTCAACCTGCCTACTTTTTTTAAAGGCAGGCTGGCATGCAGAACATCTCAGTGAGGTTCATGACCTTGTGCGCAATTTTTTCAGTTCAAAGTATTTGAATTTCTCTTATCTATTTTATAACATGAACGGGAGAGTTTTGCCTTGTTAGGTATCACGTCTGTGAATGACCATTCTTGGAGAAAAGATAAAGGGTGAGATGGACCTTTGCTCTGACATACTATGGCTGTTATTATGATCTCTGTTTGAGTGGTGTGATTTTATTGCTTTCGTTTTTACATTAGGTGAAAGCAATAAACTATGCTTCTCTGAGAAAATAAAAAGTTTTTTCTTTTTCTTTTTTTTCTTCTTTGCTTGCACACACTCTATTTCATTCCAGCAGAGGGACCCGTTATTACTTTTCGATGGAGAGGCTGGGTTTGTATACTTCTGTTTCACTGTCACTTTGAAAGAAGAATGATAGTTTCTTGCATATCTGTCTTTGTTCCGTTGGAAGACATGCAATATACCTTCTGGTCTTTGGAACATCTTTTGCCAAAGAATGAAGTAGTATAATAAATCTGGAGACATCAAGGGTAATTATACATTTTTTTGATGTAGATTTTGCAGGTCTCAGTCACTTTTTCACTTCTTATCAATATGTTTGCAACATTGACATTGTACAGGAACTCACTCAGCTGAATCTTAAAAAGATCTTTTTTTAATGGTATTTTTTGCTTAAGAGACACCCTTTCATTTTGTCTTTAATTCTAGAGGCCTTAAACTTCCCTTAACAGGCACAGAGCCTCCTGATCCAAAGATATCTAATGTAAATAAATAAAAGTCATTCTCTCCTTAAATAAGAATTTATATATGTCACCATAAACATTTCTTTCAGGTATTTTTCTCTGTATTGATTGGAGCTTTCAGTATTGGACAGACTGCTCCAAGCGTAGACGCATTTGCTAGTGCAAGAGGAGCTGCCTATGCAATTTTTAATATCATAGACAATGTGAGTATCTTTGCCCTCACTCTCATTTTAAAACTGAGAGACCCTTCTTTTTAGAGTACAGGCACTATTTATGGATATGAAATTAGTAAGAGTAAATAACAGTGTGTAAATAAGCAGAAATGTAAACATGAAAGCAGATAGAATGTGTAATTATTAGTCAGTTCCTCTTTGTCTTCTAGAGTAATCGGTTCATACTTCAAAGGTAAAAATACTGGATCTCTGAATCACGTGGTGCTGGTGGTATCCTCTAATGTATTCATCATGAAAGGCACGTCTATGATGCTATATAGATATGTGATTACAGCCAATGTAAGTATAGGAGCATAGGTTTCAAAGGATCAGTGGCACCACCAGTAGCGTGAGTGTTGGCAAATCAATAAAACACAATCTGATAACCTAGATATGTACTTCAATTGCCAAGAGTGTCTGATAACAGGGAAGCTGTGATTTTACTAGCTAATGAAGCTCTATGAAATGCAATTGCATATTTTGAATTATTAAGACAGGTTTCAAGTTCTAGACCCACCCTGGATGGAAACAAAACCAGTGATAATTATAATTCTGTTTCTGCCTAATGGTCAGTGGATTGGTTCTTTCTCACACTAATTGTTTCAGCAGAAAGGGCAAAGCTATAAATGAACAGAGTATGACCATCTCATTAGAGATGATCTGTTCAGGTTAATCATCAGGCAGTGAAATGAATCTTAGATTATGGCTAGCTGTGGGTACACTCTTAAAGACAGTGCACTAAATTCACACAAAAGCTTAAATGGAGAAATTATAAAAGTGTTCTTGCGTGAGCAGATCATCAGAGTAGTAATGAGGCAGCAAAACATCAGTCAATGTACATGTTTCAGAAATCGCACCTAAATTACTTAAAAATTACATTTAATATCTCTGCAGAATAATAGTGCACTCTAGGACTTCTTTATGAAAAAAAAAATCATTAGGAAATAAGTTGTGGCTTTTTTTTAATTTTTATTTTGCACAGGAACCTCAAATTGACAGTTATTCAGAGACAGGTTACAAACCAGACCACATTGAAGGGAACTTGGAATTCCAAAATGTTTACTTTAATTATCCATCCAGACCAGATGTTGAGGTACTGTAAATGAAACTTTATACATATTACAGTTAAACATTTGAATCCTTTGCTAAGAGAAAAAAATCACATAAAATTTTGTTGAAAATAGAACAATTCCAAGTTGATTCTCGAATTTATATAAAACTACCTTGCCATTACAGTGTTTTTAGCTAGAATTATTTGTCTCTTAGCTAAACATGTTAAGTTTTCTGAATAATTTTCAGGGGCCCGCAACATAGGAAGGACATGCATGTGTTGGAGCGGGTCCAGAGGAGGGCCACAAAGATGATCAGAGGGCTGGAGTACCTCTCCTACGAGGACAGACTAAGAGAACTGGGGCTGTTCAACCTGGAGAAGAGAAGGCTCTGGCGTGACCTTATAGCAGCCTTCCAGTACCTGAAGGGGGCCTACAGGAAGGATGGGGAGGGACTTCTCACAAGGGTGTGTAGTGATAGGACAAGGGGGAAAGGCTCTAAACTAAAAGAGGGCAGATTTAGATTAGATATTAGGAAGAAATTCTTCACCATGAGGGTGGTGAAACACTGGAACAGGTTGCCCAGAGAAGTTGTGGATGCCTGGTCCCTGGAAGTGTTCAAGCCCAGGCTGGATGGAGCTCTGAGCAACCTGATCTAGTGGAAGATGTCCCTGCTCGTGGCAGGGGGGTTGGAAGCAGATGATCTTCAAGGTCCCTTCCAACCCTTACCATCCCATGATTCCATGATTTGTCTAAGTCTCTTGTTCCTAAACAGTGAGAGATGCTTCACTTGTAAAGTACACACATAATGATACTAAGGGTGAAAAGGCAGCGGTAAGTGCTGGGAGTAGAAATCTAGGAAGAAAGAGACAGTGACAAGGACAAAGAGCTGCAAGTGGTATTGGGAAGTATGCTGGGAGAGTACTGGAACATATCGGTGCATGGCTGTACATTCAGAATAGAAAAATGCACTTAGCCATGATGCAGATGCTGACATTCAGGTATGCATAGTTCATCGTAGCCTAGTCCTTCTAGAAGACTAATTAGCAAAAAATATGCTTTTCTCCATTGCAGTATACGTTTTCAACCATGGAAGTTGTACAAAGTAGTGAAAACTGTGCAGACTCCTGTACACCTTTTGTCTTGTTAAAGTAGAAACAAAACCAATTTATTCTTTTTTTCCTGCTGTTGTGTCTTATACTACTCAGGTGAGCGGATTAAGCAGAAAAGTGGGTAAAATTAAATATACATGGCGTGGACATGCTAACTGTGTATCTGCTCTAGAGCCCCACTACACTGCTCAATACAGGTTATATTCTTGAAAATAAAATGAAGAAGCCATTACATGGCACCAAAGAGCTACATTTACCCTTTGTAAGACTCCCAAGGAAGGCAAAACTTTGTATCTTCCATGACTGTAAAATGCTGTATTTTATGCTGACTACTACAAGGAGGTTATATATTGTGCAATGAAAAGTCACCGTTGTAAAGAATCCCCACCAGCAATTCCAGTCAAAAAGGGAAAAAGAAAGGATACTTCAAGGTTATTAAAATTACTTTCTCTCTAGAACAATGTAGAGTATATTCTGTCGCTTCTAACCATGACTTTCACTGCACAATAGTTTTCCTGTAGTTTGTGTTGGGCATTAAAGAAAAAGATGAGGCAACATAATGCAGAAATATTGCTTCTGTATTATATTTTAGTTATGGGTTGTAATCATGTTATTTTCATTTTTTCGTATGAACTGGTTCATGATATGGGTAATTGTGAAGTGTGGTGTATAACACATTGATATTGGACCAATTGTGATGTAAATATGAAGAAAAATAAGCAGAAGTAATGTTACCCAAATTTTAAACTCGTATATTTATAAATTTTATTTTGTACCAGATTCTGTTATAAATATGAAGGATATTTTGCTGTAGTCTTTAGAGTTTCTTCAGATTTACATTGATGTTTTTTCATACTGTTATGTTTTTGATTACCTTATACACATAGATATTGAAGGGCTTGAATCTCAAGGTTGGTTGTGGCCAGACAGTGGCCCTGGTTGGTGGCAGTGGCTGTGGGAAAAGTACAACTGTTCAGCTCATCCAGAGATTTTATGATCCCAAGGAAGGCACGGTAAGATACCTCAAGTGAGATGACTGTGCTGTATGTCTCAGTTGTTGGAAGTCTGGTTCTGGGCTCACTGCCCTTATTCCAATGACATATTAAAGTCTCCCCTAAAAAGGCACGTGCCAACCATGAGAGAGAGGTTCCTTGATCAAAACACTTCACAAACAGTTTTTTGTCTGCTTCCTTTTGTTTAGGTTACCATTGATGGGCAGGATATTAAGACCTTAAACTTAAAATATCTGCGGGAGATTATTGGTGTGGTGAATCAGGAGCCCGTGCTCTTTGCTACTACCATTGCAGAAAATATTCGTTATGGCCGTGAGGATGTCACCATGGAAGAGATTGAAAAAGCTACCAAGGAAGCGAATGCTTATGACTTCATCATGAAGCTACCCAATGTAAGAAAACCAGCTGTCCTG